TCCGGACACCACCTCCCACCAACACGTCACTGATTTTCAGGCGTGCTTGACAGGAACCGAGCAGACAGCCCTTGGTTTGTGCCACTTTATACCCAATGGGCACCAGGCGGTGAAAATTTCCACAACTCACCATTTCTCCCTCCCTTCAGCCAGTCCCCGCCCTAGGAGGGCTTGGGTCCACGCTCAGCAACTCTTCCACGCGCACGTATCTGCGTGTAGTGAGGTGTCGCTTCTCCAGTCACACCCCCAAATAGTAACGGGCTCTCTTTTTCTGACAGCACCAAGATGGCTGTCCTCTCCAAGGAGTACGGCTACGTTATCCTGACAGGGGCTGCCAGCTTCGTCCTGGTCACGCACCTCGCGGTGAAAGTGGCCAAGGCCCGCAAGAAGTACAATGTGGAGGTGAGCGCTCAGGCTGAGGGGGATGTTGGAGACAAGCTAGGTGACACTTTGCTTATTTTTGGGTGACCTGCTGACACTTCCTGCCCCACCACATGGATGCAGAAGGGATGGAGCTGCCATCCTAGCACTCTAGACCAGAGCAGACGGTGGGACGGAGCGTGGGGTTTGGCAGATCAGGTGCTTGGCACCGAGCTGAGACGACTGAAAGCACGAGGCTTTGAGCTCGGAAACGTTGATGAGCAAGAAACCACATGGCTCTGGCTCTTTTTTTCCTGCCAAGAGGGTCGATGCAGCAAAGGGGGGTGGAACAAAAGTGACAGGAGGGTTTCTCAAGCCCGAAGGGAGCACGTGAGCCCTAGAGCCCTAGCACAAGCAGTCTTTCTAAGCGACCTTCCCTCTATCATGGAGCCCGCAGGCTGGGCAGGGCCGTGGGCTGGGGCGCTCAGTCCTGCTGTGCCACTTGGCTCCGAGTACAAACGCTCCTTTGCTCTTTCCCCACGTCACTCGGGGAAGTGACAAGCAGGGGTGAGCGCAAGGACAGCCCCGAGAGCGTGCTGCAGGTCCCGGGTGCCTGGCGGGGTGACCCCACTCCTACTGCACCAAGTCAGGATGACAGCAGATGCGCCCGGCGCGCGTGGTGCGCAGAGCGCTGGAGTTCAGGCTGGGGGAAAGAAGCCTCTGCAGCCAAGCGGCAGCTCCGGCTGGCTGCTCAGCTCTGCAGTGGTGAGGAAACCTCGCTCCCAGCCTGTTCCTGGGTGATGGGCTGCTCCCAGCTCCCCAGAGGGGACACTGGGACGTGTCCTCAGTAACGCTGCTTTGCTGTCCTCTCCAGAGAGGTGGGATTTAAACAGGGAGGTCACCCAGTACCTGGCTATCTTCTGTTCGAAGCAGGGCCAGCTCCAGGGTACGGTCAGGTTGCTCTAGGAGTTCAGGAACCGGCCTGCGACAAGCAGCAGTTTCAAAAAAGCAGCTGTGGGCCACGGGCAGGAGACAGGCTCTAACCTGCCATGGCAAGTCAGCCCAGAAAGCACCCCTGCAGCTCAGGGCCCCCTGGGGAGCGGTGCTCCAGGGCACGCTCCTCTGCTGCAGAACAGGCTCCTGAGCCCCGACTGCACTTACTCATCTTTTGCTGCTGGGTTTTTTTGGGTTTTTTTGGCAGTATCCAACCATGTACAGCACAGACCCTGAACACGGGCATATGTTCAACTGCATCCAGCGTGCACACCAGAACACGTGAGTACCACATACGAACGCAGACCTTGAAAATACGCGGGGCTGTGGAGCAGGGCCTACAGCTAGGGACTCGCTGCTGCCAGGTGCTCGAGTTCAGGCTCAACACCCAAGGAAAACACATGGCCACATAACACTTAGCAGTAAGGCTGTGCTGCCTTCTTACCATCCTTCAAACCATGAGACGGGGCCGTGAAACAGCCTCCTCTTCCTCAGTGCCTGGCTCTTTGCCTCCACGGGTGGATCTTGAGCCACTAGAAATCTTGTTTCCAGAAGAGCCTGCCTGAGGGCTGCTGATCTGCTGCTGTATCGCCCAGTTCTCCCTGGGGAGAGGCTGATGGTCAACCAGGCTGCAACAGCACATCAGAGGGGTGCTGGGAGGAACAACTCCTGGATTAGGTGGTGGCAAGTAGTATTTAGTAGTGGCTTAAGGCACAAAATGGAAAGAGTAGGCAGCCTTGGAGAGAGGCACAGGCAGGGGGAAGTCCCTAAAAGCCTGTGTGTGCTCGGATTCCCTCTAACCTCCATCTGCAGCCACAGCATCAAGCACGTCTCTCCTGGGCACAGAGACGCACAAGCCAGGCCCCACAGAGACCTTGGCAGGGGACGCTCCCAGCTTCTGCGTTTCTGGAGTTTCCTCTTTGTAAGCAACTTGAGCACAAACACAACCTCCTCGCTTTTATTTTCAGATTGGAAGTTTACCCCGCCTTCCTGTTCTTCTTAGCCACTGGCGGAGCCTACCACCCGGTAAGTGATGCTACGGTATAGGTCTGCATAACTGAACTCTGCTCCTGCACCCTGACTTGGGGAGGGTGGGGGGCATAAGCCAAGCTAGCCCCTCTAGGAGGCCAAGCTAGCCCCTCTGGAGGCAGCAGGCTGCTTCACTAGCCACATCATGCTTCATAGCTGTGCCCCTTCTGAAAATATAGTGGTAGAAGGTCTTGTACGGGGGAACCACAAGTATTTAATAAAAAACCTTGTTACTGCTTCAACTGTGAGGCCCCTTTCCTTCCCCTGAAGGTGCCTTGTTGGACAAACCGAAGCATTTGCAGCCTCCGAGCCGTGCAGGGTCCTGCTGGGCTTACAGCAGTGCTACTCGGCAGCTGCTTGTGTGGAGGACAGGAACCCTTTCCCCCTCTTCTAAGCACACTTTCCTGAGGAGTTTATCTGATAAGAATAGGTGGGGAACATGGTGATCTTCCCACTCACTTCCAACACCAAATGAGTTAAAAATATAAAGAGCCTGGATTATTTTTAACTGAAAGATGTAGACAATGCATGAGGAGGCAGGCATGTAGGAAAGGCCCAAACTAGCAGCTCACTCTTTGCCACCAGTAGACAAATACTCCTTTACGGAGAGGGAAGGAAGCCACATAGGCAAATCTGGCAAACTGGAGCCAACTTGCAGCAAGCTCTAAATGAGGAGGCAAGGTGGAAGTCTGCAACAGGGAACCCTGTACACCTGCTGGAGGCAGTGGAGTGGGGCTTGGGGCAACAGCTGCCCCCAAGATCCTGGCACATGGTCTAGCTCACTAATTGGACAGTGGTGACATGAGATTCAGCACCTGCTGCCTGTATGACCACCATTTCTTGCTTGGGAAGAGCTGTGCTGCAACACAGCCAGGCTCTGCAGCACATCCCATGCTACCTTTCCATAGGCAACATGAAAGCGACTCCTCCTGTGCAAACCTCACCCTAGCACGCTGCACCAGTCACCTGTCTCCCCCCCACTGACTCCCAGTTGTCCTAGCAAGGTCAGGACCCACGCTGTAGGTGGTGGTTGCTTCTTTGAAATAGGGCTGATGTAACATCTAAGCACATGCAAACAGCAAGTCTCCAAAACTTTAATGCTTCTCGTTTCTCTCTAGCGGATTGCCACAGGGCTTGGCATCACCTGGATCCTTGGGAGAATCCTCTATGCCTATGGCTACTACACAGGAGGTAGGTCTTTACCCTGCAGCACGGAAGGTGCTTGGAAGCTCAAGTCCCCTACAGTGGCCTCAGGCCTCTTTCCTCCAGCTCACATCAAGGAGGCAGCATAAAGCTTCCAGTCAGGCATAGAGAAAAGGGTGCAGGTCCCCAGGCTGCTAACTCCACAGCACGCTTTTCCTACTGATGGGAGGAGCACTAATCTAATGATAGCACAGACTGAGGGTAGGTACATGGCCCCAGCATCAGCTGTTTTGCCTTGAAATTTATCTCTAGTTCCTCCTCCCTCTGATTTTCAGGGTGGGCTCGTCTTTCAGTGATGGGCTGCTGGACTAACAAAACACGTCTTTTTTCCAGACCCAAAAAACCGACGGAGAGGGGCCATTGGTTCAGCTGCACTCATTGGGCTGGTGGGCACAGGCGTGTGCTCAGCTTGCCAGCACCTTGGCTGGAGCTGCCGGGACTAACTGACCATCACAACAGTTGCCTGGGAAACTAAAGCAATTTTTGTTCTGTTTTCATTTCCTATCTGTGTGTTGTTTTTTTTTTTCCTCAGTGTAATAAAATGAAGTTGTCAGTTCTGTATTTTCATTCCAAAATTTCAGAGAGTTTTCTGAGGAAGTTTTGCAGAACACTAGAACAACTCTGGTTTTGTAGAGCTGCCTGTCAGGTAGAGACATTCTAGCTTTTATGATTTTGGTGACCAAAAAGCCATCGTGCAATCCGTTTAAACCCATGCAGCAACAGCCCTGCTGCCTATCAGACTACATTATACACCCCTCAATTCACATCACTCTCTGAAAAGATGTTCTAAACAGAATTAATATTTATTTGATTGCTAAAAAAAAAAAGATGTAGGTGAACATTTAAAGTTGTTGCTTCAGCATGATTATAAAGAACAATACGCCTGTAGGAAGAAAATCAAATAGCTTTTGCTTAAGATAGGCAGCACTCTATCCTATGCTTGCTACAACTCTAGTTGTGCTCCATACTCTGTGTCTGGAGATGATTCTCAGGGCTGTGCCTGTCCTGGGTGGCATCAGCTCACCATCCCCACAATATTTTGTCCCACCTTGGAAGTGAGGTACAGATAGAAAAAACAAAACTTGTGTTTACAAGGGGCCTAGAGGGCATAAACAATCCTACCCTTAAGGCTTTTATGTAGTCAAAAGAACAGATAGAGCCTGTAGCTACAGGATATCAACGTGCCCGAGAGCTTATACGCGTACTGAGTCATGTCATACCTGTTAAGAAGCCAAAACCATAGTTGACTGAGGGTGGAAGACAATGGGGTTCAAGGCACATGGCAGGGGATGCAGCCTGGGCTGGGCCTCTGCCACTGCCAAGCCTCTGGCAACACCTACATAGGTGTACATGCTGCTGCTGCAAGCCAGGCTGCTACCTCCTACTCTGAGGTTCCCATCCTCCACCAGACAGGACAGAGCAGGCCCACGGGCTGAGTCCTGTGTGCAGGAGGAGGTTGGTTACAAGTTGCTTCAGCTATGCTCCCCCCCAGGCACTTACAATTTTAGAGCACTTTATTGCTGTGTAAATGATCCATATCTCTGGCTGACAGGCAAGAAGTTGCTGATACTCCCTTGAGCAGGCCCCAGAGCCACTAAAACACAGATTCCACATCACCCATCTCCACACAGACAGTCTTCAGCTGCGAGTAGTACTCGATGGCTGCCCGCCCATTCTCTCTGCCAAATCCTGCAGGGACAAACCAGAAGTGAGAACTCAGCTCCAGGCAGTGCCAGGTAACACTCACACCCCCTGGAACTGGCATGTAGTCATACCAGGAAGGTCAAACAGAGCTCACCTGATGCCTTGTATCCTCCGAAAGGCAGCTCCACAGGGCTGATGTTGTAGTTGTTAATAAAGCACATCCCGGCTTTGAGAGCAGCTACTACTCTGTGAGCCTTCTGGATATCCCTGCAGGAAAAGGGCAGTTCAGCTGGATCCCTTCCCATTCATCCTCTCCTTCCCTGCCAGCTGACATCCCACTAGAGAAAGGCCAGCAGGTCACAGTGGCTTTTGGAGCCCAACCTGTCCTACTCCATCTCTGCCTGTTCAAAGGATGTAGCAACTATTCCCAAGGACACTCAAAACTGCATTTGATTTGAGAGGGCAGGACAAGGACACCAGCAAAGCAGACTACGGCAAGCAGCCAAGAGCTGTCTTTGTGTGCTTTCAGCAGCGTGGCAGGCTCCTGGTGCACGTCTCCTGGAGATGCAGGAAGGCAGGCAGCAGGCCAAGCACAGGCTGGAAGGAGCCTGAAGGACAGCTGGGTCCACCTAACCCTTCAGGAAAAACTAGGAGGAGATGTGCAGTCATGTACAAAGTTCCCTTTTGACAATCCCTTGCTCCAGCTTTTCTAGAAGACGATATCCATACCCGTGCCAGGTTCCGCAAGAGGAGCATCAAGTTGGTGTCGGATTTCCCTTCTCCTCCCCTCCCTAGACCGCTTCCGCACCAGCCACGCTACCCAGCCATACCTGGTGAAGACACCACCTGCCAGGCCGAATTTGGTGTTGTTGGCTCTCTCCACAACCTCCTCCTCTGTGTCAAACGGCAGAATGGACATGACAGGCCCGAAGATCTCTTCCTTCACACACGTCATATCATCCCTGCAGTTCCCTGGAAGAATGGCAGAGTGCACGTGCTTCAGGAGGAAGAGTTAGTAGAACAGCCTGCACATTCAGCAACCCACAGAGCCGCTGGCAAAGCACTTGGCTCAGCACTGCACAGCCCCCCCGACTTGACCAGCAGAAGAGCAAGTCGCATCCTGTCAGACCCTCCCAACAGCAGAGATTTCTCTGGACACAGTTCCCAGATGCCTCAGCTCCCTCTAGTACACCCGTACCACTGCCTGTCCACACTGTGGATGTACACAGAGACAGGTTACACTGAACGCAGCTTTCTCTAGAAGAAACTCAGCAACATCCATTTAGAAGACCACAGTACCATGAACAGGAAGGATCATACCTAACACACAGGGTCGCATGTAGTAGCCATTCTTCAGCTTCGGGTCATCTGGCACATACAGGTCCCCTCCACACAGCACCTCTGCCCCCTGAAAAAGAGCCAAGCAAAAGGTAGGCAGGCACATCCAGAGGCATCCTGCCCGGCTGCTGCAGCTCTGGCTGGCCGATACTCCCTGCTGGATTTACAATCCTGTCAGACAAACCGTGTCTATGCCCTCCCTGGTGTCTCTCCAGGACAGGACTGCTGACAGAACACCACTGATAGATCAAGGTCAGGGGGTGAGACCATCCTAAAAGTCCAAACAATGCTGATTGGGGGTGTAAGTGCCACAGGAGCCTCCAGTGTAGGTTGGAGGGAAGCAACTACAACTAAGAGCAGATCCTCAGTTGGCATCACATCAACTTCCACATCTTCACATGGTGTGAATTCCCTAGTTAGGGAATCAATCAGTCCCTTCGCACACCACCTGGCAAGAAACACCTACCTCCATGAAATGCCCCACTGTAGAGATGGGGATTTCTCCTCTCATTCCCCACATCTCTTCCACATCCATCTTCCTGTTACCAAGTCCTCATCTAGCCCTCCTGGCTTTCACTCACAGTTCCCCTTCTCCAGCCCATCCTCAAATTGGCTACACCTAGTCATATATCTAGTGCTGACATTTGAAACATCTTTATACTTTACAATAATACCTGGAGAAAAAAAAAGAAAAAAAAAAAAGCCTGTGTAGATCTTATTGCTGTTACAGAGATTATTTCCAGCTTCCTGTAAATCTGGCCTTTGATCCTTAGTAAATTCTTTCTGCAACCAACAAAACCAGAACCCAAACAAAATAACAGCCAAGCATGCAAGGTGTCACCACAACGTATAAAAGAGAAACTAGTCCAAATGTATGGATTCTCCCGTTTTACACACTGCTGTGCTGGGTAGCTCACAACCTCTAAAATTTGGCAACATCAGGATATGAAAACCCACGTCACCTTCAATACTGATTTAGAGATGGGCCACCAGATTAAAAGTGACCCAGCACACAAGACACCTATTGAGTAACTCAACCACAACAAAAAAACAGCTTAACTGGGAAGGTATGGGGCAGGAAAGCAGCTGCCGGTCTGTTTGTCTAACCAGACAGACATTTCAGGGCAGTCACGAGGCAGCATCACCATCTCACCTGCTCCTTTGCCTGCTTGATAAAGCCCTGGACACGATCCAGGTGGGGCCGGTTGATGAGGGCTCCCATCCGTGTGTCTTCCAGAAGTGGGTCTCCAACTTTAATTTTCTGGGTGCGTTTCACCACCTCCTTTGTGAAGACATCCAGTATCTTCCTCTCCACAAACACCCGTGTGCCGTTGCAGCATACCTGGGATACAAGACAGGCTGCTCAGAATAAGACACACATCACTCCACAGTCCTTCCCCTGCTTCAGTCCTGCCACAGAGGCTCTCAGAAAAGCCCCTCCACAGCTCCTAAAACAGCTAACTTGTCCTTGGGGACAAAGACTGGATTACCCTGCTGCTCATGACTGCACTGCACAGTCCATGCTGGACACGGTGGTACTGATGCCACCAGGTGGCAAAAACACATCAAGTCACCAGCAGGAGAGAACTTCAGCAGCCCTTTCGGTTCCCAGAGATGATCCTAGTAAGCCAATTTGCCAGCAGGATCACATCAAACCTGCAGCACACATGGAGATCCCAAATTTGGGACAATGGACAGAGCCCCATGGGACTGTGGCTCAGCACACCAGACTGGAACCTGCTGCCCATCCAGAGGACACCCGCACAGCTTCTTCTGACCTCTGTGCCCCAGACTGGAGCTCTGTGCACAGTAGCAGCTGCTGGAGAGGCTCCACTTCTGGGAAGGACAGGGCGTTAGCTAAGTCACGCTCCGCTGAAGCGCCCTGCACTGGCTTCTGCAAGGGCATCCTTTCTGATCCCTTGTGACACTGCACAGGGAAACGCGTGGCAAGATGACAGCTTCAGGGCAGCCCTCGCGCTAAGCAAGGTCACAGGCTGACTCTGCTGCCCAATTCTCAAACCACCCCACCACACCAGGGAGGACCCGCTCCTGCCCCGTAGCACACACCTCGCCCTGCGTGAGGAAGTTTGCCATGAGGGCTCCATTCACAGCATTCTCCAAGGCACAGTCTGAAAAGATGATAAGGGGGGATTTGCCTCCCAGCTCCAGGGTGACTGGTTTGATCCCTTTAGCTGCCATCTCCATGATCTGACAGAAACAAGGACCGAAGAGACAAGTAACAAGTAAATGGGAGGCTGGTGGAGGCAGGAAAGAGACACCCAAGGGCAAAGTTCCCACAGGGTCCTTTAAAAACAGAAGCAGCGCAAAGGGCAAGCTGGGTTTCTGAGATGCGTTTAGTTCAGACTGGGGACAGTCTCAGAGGGTTTGGGTTTTGTTGTTTCGGTTTTTTACAGATAAAAACAACAAAACCTGAGGAGTCATTTGCAGGAAGTCTTGTGCTCAGCATAAGCCCGGAGGACAGCCGTAACTGCACCCCACAGGTACACACATGTAAGGAGAGTTCAAGGGGCCACATTTCCCCTCCTGCAAATCAGATTTTATTTCTACAAGTCTTTTTAGGGACTTTTAATTTTTTGAAGAATAAATTGAAGAAGAAATTGGGTAAGAAATTCACAGAAACTAACCTCCTGCTTAAAAACAGGAAGTTGTATGCAACTAAATCGAACTAATTCTGCCAGAAATGCTCACACATTTTCCCAGCGCTGCTCTGTTTTCCACAACCTCCTCCCCATACAGATACCCATTTTAGCAGCTCAGAGACTTCCCTGTTTAGCCAGGGGCTAAACAAGTGAAGATGACCAAGGAGTTCCTCTGAAAGGACCGAGTCCCCAAGTCCATGCCCAGTGGGCTAACTGGAGCCCCAGTTTAACCCTGTACATGCAAGCTCCTTGCTCAGACCCAAAAATGCCAACTTGCACCCCATCTTTACAAGTTTCACCCACTAAAGCTCAAGGAGGTATCGACATGCACAGCACACCAGGAAGGCTGGCACTACAGACCCCCTTACGTCCCCGAGCGCAAAGGTGCCTTTACCTTGACGCCAGTTGGCACACTACCAGTGAAAGAGATTTTGGCCACATCTGGGTGATGACAGAGGAACTGGCCTGTGGCCACTCCACCCTGCACCACGTTGAAGAGCCCCTTGGGTACACCGGCCTCTGTGAAGATCTCTGCCAACCTCACCACCGAAATGGGGGTGAAGGGAGAAGGCTTGAAGACCATCGCATTGCCTAGGGGAACCCAGACAGAGGCAAGGTGGGGTTAAAACCCAAACTGCTTTAGGAAAAAGAACAACAACCAAACAAAAAACCAAAAACACCCCACACAATGAGTTTGTCTCAACAGATCCCAGAAGATCCCCCCACAAGAGAGGAGGAAACAGTTTCAGCTGAACACTGCAACTAGTGAAAGGGAGGAACTGCACCTTCCTGCTGGGAAGGGCTGGGAGACACGAGGCTGCTGGTCCTGCACTGCAGACGTTTCCAGAGACCTTCCTCGCCTGGTACAAAGCCAAGCAATCGGCCTTTTTCCTGACGCACTCCTGCCCTCTTAGCACCCGCCGTGTTCCTGCTGCTGTTTCCTTTCCCCTCCTGCCAGAGTAACCGTTTGAAGGTTCTGCTAATCCTTCAACACCTCCTTCAAGGTAATCCTAGACTTTATCCCCCAAATCACTCTCCCCCACAGGATCATCTGGCTTCAAAGAGAAGCTTGTGTGGGCAGAGAGTCTTCATTACCGCAAGCCAAGGCTGGGGCAGACTTCCAGCAGGCAATCTGGAAAGGGTAGTTCCAGGCTCCAATCCCAACACACACCCCAAGGGGCTCTCTCCGAGTGTACCCAAAGGATCCTCCAGGAAGCTGGATGTGTTCACCTGCAAATAAGAAAAACAGTCAGAAGGTAGAGAAGAGCAAAGCCCCTTCCTGTCTTTTCATAGCCTCAGGGGCCAGATCTCGCTTTGACTGGGAACAGAGACACATGGCCTTTACCCCAGCAAGCTCACAAAAGGTGCGTAAGTGCCCAGAGAGCACGGCAGCATTAGATAGAGATCTATGAAAATCCTTCCAAGATCTACTCCTACCCAAGGAGTAGCCCATCTCTTAGAGAAATCAGCAGCAAAGATGGACTTGTGCCATGGAAGTTACCAGGGAACGCAAGCGGCAGGACAGAGACTAAAGAGCAAACTCCAGTAACGTTCTCACCAGCTAGAGATGCTGCCAGTCCTGCGTAATACTCCAGGCACTGCCAGGAGATGTCAATGTCCACTCTGGCTTCAAAGATGGATTTCCCATTGTTGATGGTTTCCAAGGTGGCGATTTCTTCTCTCTGCTCCTGTGAGAGGCACAGGACAGCGACAACATGTTAGAGAAGCCTGTAGTAGAACTCCATGAGAAGACAGCTGCTTCCCAAGCACGCAAGTCCCAAACAAGGCCCTGCCATCCGTAAGCGAGGCTCTGCCACGAGAAACTGTCATCTTTAAAGGGTACAGTCCCAACTGCTATTTATCCATTTCCCAGTGGTGACTGATCACGGGGGAATGTCAAACAGACAGCTGCTGGGGTTCACTGCTGGTCCAGTCTTGCTTAACATCCCTGTTTATCTAAAAGATGAGCAAAGTTGAACTGAGAAGCCGGCTGGTAAACAATGATTAGAATTCACAGAACTAAACTGGGAGGAAGAGCAAACAGCAAGATCAAAATGGAACCAGAGGACTTGGTGAAGGACGGACAAAGCAATGCAGCTGGAAAGCATCCTTTAACAGACCATCTTCCAGGCAGAAATATTACCCTGCTGCCAAAGTCTGGCAGAAGTTTGGCAGAAAGAATCAGTTTTCTCATCACTGGAGAAAGGTCTGGTTTCTTACAGATCTGTGCCTCAATGGGGATTAACTTTGATGTCCAAGAACATGTTATCTCACAAAGCAGTTTGTGATAAAGCTACCTTATTTGTATCCTCTCCCATGCGTATTATCTGGTGTCTAAGATAAAAACCAGCATTCCTACTTTTTTTTTTTTTAATTGCTAAAACAAGACACTCTCCAATCATGTGATAACAGCACTGGACAAACTGGAAGTTCAACAATGTGACAGTTATGCAATTTCAGCTTTGAAAGCATGTGCAGTGAAGCTTAATCTTTGGAGTTGTAAAAGTAGTATGAGCCCTGCAAGATCTCAACTGGATGGCTTCAGTTCTACGTCTTCTAACAGAATAAAGCAGAGAAGGTACACACTGGCCTTGAATACAGTGATGAGAGCAAAGTTTTGCCCAAGGCCACCCACTATCTCTTCTGGTCAAAGGTGGGTTTTAACTCCTGTATTCTTCCTGGAGCTCTGGAATTCCGGCTGGAAGCTCCTAACAACCACAATGACCCACTAGAAAGCTCAGAGACAGAACCACCCCCCTCCAAAAGAGGGGCTGAACTCCCACAACTTACCCGAATAATTCTGGCAGCCTCCAGCAGTACCCTGCTTCGCTCCATGCCAGACATCTGGCTCCATATTTTAAAGGCAGCCTTTGCACTCTGCACAGCCAGATCAACCTCCTTCTCCCCAGAGCAGAGTAGCTTGCTAATCACTCGACCTGGACATGTTTATAAATAAGATCGATATCTCAGAAAAAGGGGCACAAAAGAATACCGTTTATCTCACATCAAACCCGAAAACACTTCAGTCCAGCCGCCTGTACCAGGCTACAGAACTTCATGCTATGGTTCCCACTGATTTCTAATTGGCTACAAAAGAGGTGCTGCAATTCAGCTGGTCTGAATTAAAAGATCTGTCATTAGCCACAGTCGTGTTCTAGTTACTAATTAGCTCCAATTGTGACAAAATTCCTCCGTTTCCCAGTGGAGTTTGTTGTACTTTTACCACCAGCTTCAAGAGTCTGTTACACATTCCTCAGCATAGTTAAACACTCTCTTGAAGCAATACTGCTGAAACCCAGATATTTCAAATTATATAAAAACCCCTTAATTCTAGAAACGTTTAAATTGTGTCCTTTGCCAAAATCAGGCACCACCCGATTTATTTTTTTTGTTTGGCTAAGAGTCAGCGCTGATTTCTGATAAAAAGTTTGACGACAGACCTGCACCGCAAGAGACAAAGCCTAGCCACCAAAACACCACGGCGTTCAGGACGCCTGCACAGGCGGCCATCTGATCAGTGAAGCCGAAGGCACCCAGCCCTTGCAGGCAAATAACGAGAAGGCAACTCCCGGGCACCGGGCTCGCACCTCAGGGCAAACTTACACCCCCCCCGCCCCAACCCCGAGCAGGCAGCGGGGGGGTACCTGTGGCCGGTTCATACACCTCCTCGGCCTGACCACCGTCAGCGGGCTGAACGCGGGCGCCGGCCCGGTAGTTGAGGGGCTGGTTGACAGTGACGGTACCGGTAACGCTGCTCATGGTGAGGCTAGGACGGAAGGTACAGAGCCGGGGTAAGAGGTTCGGCAACCGGGACCGCGCCAGCATCAGCTGGGCTGTCTGTGG